AAGAAATATTTTAGAAATGATACATATTGTCAAGAGTGATGGTTCTGTGAATTTTAGAACCGACACACGAAATCTATCAATTTTTATTATGATTTAATTAATATTAGTATAGAAGTAATTTAAGATAGTGCAAATACATCAATCTTAAAAATTGTCATTTGAATTCATTGAACCTTGTTACTAACCTATATGACAATATTTTCAGAATATAGTTAGATATACATATCTCCAGTCAAAAAGATGCACTACCTTATATTTTTATGAATATTCATGTAATGAAACTTTTATTTAACAAAATAGCAGATTAAAATAATTCATTTTAATAATTTTATTCAATAAAAAACTCGCGTGCACAAAATAGCCCCACTGTTGACGCTATAGCGACTTTTCTCTTTTATGGATGAATTTTTACAATTTTAGGTTTATATTTTTATTTTATTTATTATAGTTTATTATTTTTCCTCTTCGGTTATTTTCTTTTTTAGAATTCACCATAGAGGATTCACTATAGAGAATTTAATTTTTATGGTGTACAAAAACAATAGTTAACGAAAAAATGAATTTCGCTTTATTTTCAGCTCTAGTTTTAGGATTGTATACGAACTCGTGGCAAGGACCACTGGCAACATCTCTATTTTGGAGATGGTTGGGACTTGCTCTAGCCTTAGGACTTCATGGATTGGTGTGCACAAGAAGTCGTGTCATTGGTTTAGCGGCAATGCTCATATTGTCCGTTGTGCCATACACTTGGCTCGAAATACGTTTGGCGAAACGTGGCAAAAGTCTTGCGCCATTGTGACCGCGTAGATCAAACAAAAACAACAACAATAATAATAAAAAAACAGGCGAAAAATCGCACAACGACTGAGATAGGTCCGTTCCATCCAGTTTGAGGAGAAGTCTATCAGCTTCAATGAGAAGCCATAAATTAAGAGGAAAAAATGTTTTTATCTGTCATACAAGAACTTCCGAAAGTTCAGGCGTTGAACAAACTTCTGCTTTTCGTATCACTTAATAATTAAATATACTTTTATTTCTTTTCCATTTTTAATTTATACATTTTTTCCAGAAATTTTAGAATATTTCATAAAACAAAATAAAGTACTTTTTTAGAATTCTATATTTAAAATAAGAAATTTCCATTTGTCATTTATCTCTGTAAGATGTTTTCTAACAAAAAAAAAGAAAAAGAACTACTGTATTTTATACAAATTTGGAAAAGCCTTTGCCTAAAATGGAGAACTATTTCAGATATCATAAGTTTTTAACAAAAAAGCCTTCAAGTCGGGAAAAAAAATTTCTATCAATATTTCCCCTTAAAAAAAAGTATTACATTTTGAGATTTAAAAAATTGAAAAAGTAAAAAAATATCAGCGAGACAATCACGAACTTAAATTATTTATTATATAGTTTTAGTAAAAAAAATGAAATTCAGTTATAGATTTCATTTCTGAACTGAAAGTATTTTTCCTATTGTCACAAAAATTTCATGTTGACCAAATAAGAATACTAAATTAAAATTATATTATGCTGATATTTTTATTTCAATTTCCATTACTCAAGTCAAGTCAATTGTTAAAAAAATGTTTTCTACTCTTAAAAAACGAAGGCCAATTATGACAGTAACTTACGATTCTGAAAGCTCACTATATAAATAAAAATAATAAAGAAAATCTTTAAAAATAATATTATGTTAAAACAAAGTGGTGCTCAAAAACAAAATAACAACCATAATTGTTAAAGAATAATGAAAAAGTAACACACGCAAAAAACTAAAAACTGTTATGCTCGTAATTAAAAAATAATTTATTTCGGTTATAAAGAGAATATTTCTCGTATGCAAATTCAAATTTAAAAAGTTCAATATTTTTTCAAAACATATTTTTGAGTTTAAATTATATTTAAGAAAATTATACAAAATGTATTGAGTATCTAATTTAATTTAATAAATAATTTTAATTTATTTCATAAAATTATTTCAAATAAATTAATGTAATTAAAAAATGAAAAATTCTTAATTGTGATAAATAAAGTTAATATTTAATAAGTTTATTGATTGAAAATAACTTTTTTACATACTTTCTTAAAAAGCATTTTTTGTGAGACATTGAATTTAAAAAAATGTTGATTGCTTGTGTAACTAAAAATGTTCTTCTATAAGATTTGTTCAATATAGTAATAATGAAATGTAAATAAAACAAAATATCGAAAACTAACTTTGAATACTACAATTTTTTATAGTTAAAAAACACTAATTTAGGTTTAAAAGTAAAGTTTTACTATATATATATATATACTTGTTAATAAGATTGATAAACTATATCTTGATAGAAGAATTCTCGAGACAAGTTATTTAAATATAATAAAAGAAGAAAAAAATAAAACAACGCAAATGAAATTTTAAATGAATCAACTTTTTTTGTTCTTTTTGTAAAATGTACTGTTCAATTTAGAAATAATGCTCATAACCTTTCATGCTTTCAATACTTGCGCTTTCCTCTGAGCTTCATTTTTTCAATAAAAAAGAATAAAAATAAAAAAAAAGAAATCTCTTCTAACTGGATGGAACGCTTTTGCTAAAACGAAACAGACGTTCTAAAAAATTTAATAAGTGTAAATTATTCATTGTATGGCCAATTGTAAGAATTATCAGAGATTGCTTGTTCAACTTTATGCAGAAAAACTATAATTGGAGAATAAATAAAATCTTTGATTAAAATCCTATCAATTATTGTAATTATGATGATAGAAAAACAACATTATATATCAAATATTTTTAATTTTCAGGAAAAGTTTTCTGTTTATTTATTTGTTTATTGACTTTAATACAAAACAAATTACAAAGGAAAAAAAATTGTTAATCCATCGCGTAAAAACAAAGACGAAAAAGTCTGAATTATCTGGAAAATATTTCCTTTTTATTAAATAGAAACATTTACAAAAATATTATACAAAAACGTCATTTAAACATGCAAATTTTCTTCCTTTACTTTTTTTAAGATTATTTATTTATAATAATTATCATTAATAATAATTATTACCTATTTATAATAATATTGTTTTCTTTTTGAGAAAATATAATTTGTTCAAAAATTATTTACATTATAAAAAAGGTCAAACACAAAATTCAATTTGAATTAGACATAATATAAATCTTTGAATATAAAAATACAATCGATAAGAGTTAGTAATTCGTAAAAATATTTACAAAATTCGAGTATAATGCAGGCTTCGCACTTGATAATTACTTTTAAAAAAGTAGCAAAAAGTAGCTTTAATACTGAAAAAAGGAATAAAAAGTAGCTATCGAAAATTTAAATTTGACGATTAAAAAAAATTGATTGAATAATTGATTATTTCTTAAAATTGTATGTTTATAAAAAATGTTATCAAAATTTTAAATATATATAATTTCATTTTTTGAGTAAATTTATTTAAAATTTTCAAAAAATTAAAGGAAAATTGTATTTTTAATAATTGGAAACCTGTGAAAATGTTATTATTTATGAAAATAATTGAAGTTTTTGTAAAGAATTTTATTAAAATGTTTTTAAAATAATAGAATTCTTTTGTTAAATTTTATTACACTAGTAGGTAATGAAAATAATTGAATTTGAACGAAGAATTTCATTATTTGGAAAAATAATTGAATTCTTGACAAAAAAATTTTCTTAAAATTTTTGATAATAATATTGAATTGTTTTAAAGAATTTTATTAAAATTGTTTAAAATGTTTCTAAGTATTCTATTAAAATTTTTGAGAATAATTTCTTTATTTCAATTATTAGCGGAATTAAAATGTAATTTGGGAAAAAAAAGAAAAAAGTAGCTTTTAGTGTCAGAAATCTGAAAAAAGTATCAAAATAGTATCAAATTGTAAAAAAAGTAGTAAATAGTGGGTTTTAGTAGAAGAGTGCGAAGCCTGTTAATGGAACTAAAAATATAGTTCATTAATTATTTATAGAATTCCACTTGGAAAAAAATCTAAATAGTGATTTTAGGGTAGAGTGGGGTAAAAAAGCCACATTTTTACTTTTGATGTTGTAAAATCTGTATTTAAAATTTTTTTTTCAAATTTCCAATTGTTATTGAAAGTTTAGTTATTAAGCTTGAAAATTCTTGACGGAAATATTTTTTATCTCATGAAAGGACTAAGTTATAAGAGTTTTACGAAAGCACTGTAAGTGGCTTTTTTGCACCACCTGCGGTGGGGTGAAAAAGCCACCCTACGATTTTAGCAAAACATGTTATCAATTTAGGTATTTTTATAGTTTCCTTTTATTTATATGACAAATAGTCTTATTTGAAAAATATTCTAATAATTATGAAAGAGTTTTTAGCAAGCAAAATTGAAAATTTTATTAAGTTTACCTGTTTTCCATTTGCACTGCCAATTTTTCGTACCTTTTTTAGAAGTTCTCTTTAAGTTTTACCACAGATAACATATTTCGTTGCAACCGTTTATTCATTGTTTATTTTTTAAATGCACTTTGAACTACTTTTTCGTCGTGTTTAATTTATTTTATTAAATAAACACGAGAAATTTTGTAAAATAAGAAGGTTAGTTTAAATAGAAAACAAGTGAATTTCACAAAATATTCAATGGATTTTTTGCCCTGGCTTTTTTACACCCAAGACCAGTTATTAAAAAAAGCAAAAATAAATTGTTAATTCAGTTCAATTTCCAAAAATTAACATTGTATACGTTTTCGGTATACTTTTCTCCTTATGTACAAACATTTACTTTTATTATTCGTTCACTTAATCAAATTGTAATATGTTTGAAAAGTTCACCAAAATGTTTTCAAAAAAGCAACAAAAAATTAAAATTACAATAAAAACAATATTAATCTAGGTACAACATTCAAATTAGATTCAAAAGTTGCGTATTACCTAATAGTATTTATATTCTAAACAGCTGATAAATCGGCTTAATAGTTTTTAAATAAAACTCAAATGGCTTTTTTACACCATGGCTTTTTTACCCCACTCTACCCTACTGTTTTTTTCGCCTGAGAAATTAGAATTAAATTTCAAAAAAAAAATTAATTTTAGATTAAAATCAAAAAAAAAGAAATGTAGAAAATTCTACATTATAAAAATTAATTTCGAAAATTATCGAAACATATTTTTCAACATGAAATTATGCTATACCCGTCACTTAGATACGTTACAAACATATTAGATTTTACATTATAGATTTTACATTGTACAATGTAAATATTGTTTCTCCTTTTGATGCAAAAAAAAATTTATATACAATAAAATTATGCATTTGTAAATTGCACATTTTCATCATATAAAATTCTGATTTAAAATATTTTTCTTTCAGTCTATCTAGAGGAAATTATTTGAAAATGTTAGGAAACATTTAATTTTCTTCCTCTTCCTGCGCCAAGCCTTCTGAGTATTTGAGTCACGCTAATCTTTGGCTTTCCTCGTCCCATTCCCATATAACTTGCAACCGAGCAATTATCATCTTCTTCATCTTCAAAATCACTGTCATCCAATAGCATCACTTGCGGATATCCATAAGGTGCTCTGAGAGGTTTATCATCACTGAAAGAAAGGAAAACATTAATTTTAAGCAATAAAATTCGAATCTAATATTGTGAAATAAAAAAATTAAAATATAGCTATTTTTCAGAATTCAAATACAAATTTTTAGTCTTATATACTGCGAATATGGTTCAATTTCAAAATCTTGCTACAGATGCTCGTTACTTTGTTTCATGCAATGCTAGAAATGTGACCCACAGCATTGAATATTTTTATTTATTTCTCGAAAGTTTATTTATAAATATTTTTCTAAAAAATATCACTATTTTTGCTTCCTCATAGAGGAAGGATTGTGTTAGCAAAATTTTCGATTGTGATTTTTTCACATATTTATAAACTTATTTTCATTATACCTAATCTTTTAGTACTTTATGTACGAATGGGCACTGCCCGTATAAATGTTATAAATAAATAAAAAAAAATTTCGATGTAATTTGACCTCATAAGTCCAAAAAACGGATTTAAAAAAACTGTCCCGATGTGTGTGTGCGTGTGTGTACTGACATTACATTTGCCTTAATATCTCAGAACGAGAAAGAGTTAAAGGCTTCAATTTTTTTAAATTGTAGGTCTCCCCGGGGACATAAAATGAGAGTATTTTCAGCCCGATTCATAAAGTTTAACTATATTTTTTTCATTTTGTAAGAAAACGTTTTTTGGCCATAACTTAAAAAAAATATTAGGACACCTATAAATGTTTTTCTTTAGTTTTGTAGAGTTTTTTTAGACGCATCTTTTGAGCCTTTATTGAACATTTTTCGTCCATATTAGCCAGAGATATTAAATTTTTAAAAATCTAAATTTTTCGAAAATAATACTTTTTTGAAAATTTTGTTGAATAATGTAAAAGTAACTTTTAAAGTATCATGGCCAACTTGTAGAGTATTAAAAAACGCTTCGATTGACCTATTTTTGAACCTGATTCGGTCAGAAATTATCAAATTATTGGTATTTAAAAAATCAAAAATTTCGTACCTGTCATTGTTTTTAGTTCTAAATTTCGGTGTGTTAGTTTCTTTTACAATTGCAGGTGTTGATGCTAATGATCCAAAACCTGAATCGTCATCTTCATCGCTCCAGCATTCGATTAAATCAATTGTTGTTCTTATTTTCATATTTGCTCTTGGTCCACCGTAAATGTTGGAACATACTTTTGCTGCAATAGTAAAAATGAATATGTAAATTTTCTAATTTTTAACAACATTTTTAATGAATAATTACTTTTATGTAAGGAGACATCAAGAATTCTTTTCATGGGACATGTGAGTACATGTTTCTCCATTTCTTCTTTTCGAAAACGATGTGAGGCACTGTAGGGACAAATTTCCAAATAATCTGCTGGATATTTCTAAGGAACAAGAAAAGAAGTGATGAAACGAAAATTAAAGTCAAACTCAGGTATAAATATTTAATTGTAATAGATGAATAAAATCAAAAATATTTTACTTTAAAAAAAAAGAAAATTTGTTTGACAGAATAAATGAAATATTTTCCTTATAATTATAGAGGTTAAAATTTTTACCTCTTCACATCTGATAAGATGCATTGGTAATCTTGATCTGACTATTTTGTGTTGTGGATTATATGGACAAATAACCCTTGCATTGGGATTGTTCTCGTAACCACCATACATTCTGTAAGAAAAAATTACGATTTCACATTTTAATTATTATTATTATGTTTACTATTATTACTATTTTATTACAATTGAATTATTATTATTACAAGTATTTCAAAAAATTCATAAAATATTTTTAAATTATTATCAGGGTTGACACAAAAATTTTATTTTATTTTTCCTTGACTTCCATACAGAATTTTAACTTTTTTATTCATAGGAACTGAGATTTTCAAAAATTTCAAAATCAAACCTATTGAAATTCAGTTACTTATAAAAATAAAATTAAAAATGATCGAATGATAAAATCATTATTTTTTTTGTAATGATTATTTTATATTATTTATTTATTAATTTCAATTTTCTACGGGTTTGAAAGAAACCCTTTTGTACAATGGTAATAATTAGATTTATATGATCATATAATAGATATATACTTAATATTAAGGGCAGACTGCGACGCAATTTTCAACTATATATGAAGACATTATAATTTAAAAAACCACAAAAACAGTTCTTACAGTAATTTTTCGCGAGGAAATTCAATGGTCATAAAATAAGTTGGGTCAAAAATTATTTTTGAAAATAATTGAATTCCTGAAAAAAAATTTATTATTTATGAAAATAATTGAATTCCTGATGAAATTTTTATTGTTTATGAAAACAATAATTAAATGTTTGCGTAGAATTTTATCAAAAATTTTTTTAAGTAGTTGAGTTCATTTGGAAAATTTTATTTAAATAGTAGGGGAGACTGGGGCTAAATGTTAAATTTTGCACAAATGTTTTTTTAGGCAATAAATCCGCTTAGGTGCAAAAATATATAGATCAATATTGTAGAGCAACTTGTCTTGACAAAATACATGTTTTGTCCTTTTTAAAAAATTTTGTTTCCTTAACATTTAGCCCCATTCTGTGGCTTAATACTACAACTACTTTCTGCAGGTGTTAAGTAGTAGATAAGTTAAAGTATGCGTAAAAGAGGTAATTTAGTTAATAAAACATCTGTGTTTATTTAACAATAGCTTTAGAACAGTTCCTATAAAGTTCAAAAAAGCTTTTACGTCCGAGTTGTTTTTTCAATTAATAGGTAAAATAAATTTTTTACACGAATTTTGTAATAAAAAACCACTTGTCCGAATGTATTCGTGTAAAAAATGTATTTTACCTATTAATTCCTATAAAGTTAATAAATTAAAATTTCAAAATAAAAAAAATTATGGGTTTTTTCACGTGAGCGGTCTTGTTTTTTGACCGCGTACTTGCGTAATATCAAATAATTTAAGGGGAGGTTCTCATTGCGGGAATCAAAAAAATTTATTTCTTTTTTATTGTATTTTTTGAAAGCTATATATATGTAGAATATGTGTGTATAGCGATTTTTTGATCCGAAGAATATTTTCGTTCTTATGGAGTCTTGAACTCACCGGCGTCCCGAGCACTGAATAACAAATGTCAGGCAAATCGAATCGATTTTTAAAAATTTTGCAAATCTGACCTCAGAATCGTAAAGAGTGACCCTAAATACCTATAGATATTTATCAAATACGCAAATTGAACAAAGAATTGGAAAGAATTTAATTATTGCACAAAAATGTTTCTCAAACTTTAAACGCGTTTTTCTCGAAACAAGATTTTTCAAACTGGTGGGCATCGTAGCGTCTAAACTATTTAGTCAATCAACTTCGGGTTTGCGGCTAATTAAAGGTAACTAAATTCTACTGGGGTTATACCTATAATATGGTAAAATTGTTAACAATAGAGATTTTTACATGAGGTCAAATATAGAAAAATAATGCAAAAACGCAGTTTTTTTTTAAAAGTGTCCGCCATTTTGTCATTTTGTTAACTTTTTAACTATTTTATAGGTATAACCTATTCTTTAGGATGTCATCTTTATAAAAAATTTTGAGTTGTTGTTTTAGACTAAAAATTGCGCAGTGTAGAATGCCCACCGTTTTCCATATTTAAAAAAACATTATTTTCTAGATGCGCCATATTGGCCGCCATTTTGCATTTTTTTAAAAATGAAATATATGTTTTGAAAGTTCAAGAATGTATCTTTATTTAGAAAAAAGAACTACATCGCTAAGTCATAGCCGTTCTTTGCAAAAAATTGTCAAAGTTTGTGTTTATTTTGGCCTTTGCAATGAGAACCTCCCCTTAATTGAAAAATAAATTTAAAGCTATGAAAAAATGTGAGACTAACTCTTCTGGGGCTCGAAACCCAGGACCTATCAATTGCCGGTTGATTGCTCTTCCTCTGAGCTACAGAGGTCCACCTCCAACAAATTTTCATAGCCTTATCGACTCAATAGTCAAGATGGTTCGCATTCTTCTGCATATTAATTTTGAATTTTCCCAGAATTTTTCACGAAACAATTATCAACTCATTAATAAGTTCCTTCACTAAACGTGAAGCTAAAACCTACCATATCGACCAAGTTTCAAATTCTAGAAGTACCGGTATCTAAACCTAGACGTCACCGCCAAATCAATAAATAATTGAAAAATAAATTTAAAAATAAATTTAAATTTATTTCACGTTTAGTGAAGGAACTTATTAATGAGTTGATAATTGTTTCGTGAAAAATTCTGGGAAAATTCAAAATCAAATAATTTATAAACATATAAATCCAAAACTAAATATAGGCTAAAATACTTTTGGCGATGAGAATAAATCGAAAAAATATACTTAAAAGTTGAAATTTTCTTTTTACATAAAAATTAACAAATGTAGGGTCAAAACGCATTCATATTATAGACACCACAAAAATGAACAGAATGTCACATAAGTACGGACATTTATTTAGAGTTATATGACCCTTCTATAGTCAAAAGAGCAATGCTCTAACTATTTCCGTTCGAAAGATAATTAATTTTAACTATTTTCACAGTTTAACATTTAGCACCAGTGTCCCCCACATATTGAAAAAAAATCATTGAATTGAGAAACATTTTTGAAAGTAATTGAAATTTTACCGAAGATTTATTACTTTTGAAACTATAATTGAATTTCTGCAATTATTTGCAACTTAATTCTCCAAAATTCAATTTTTTTTAGTATTTTTAACTAAAGTTCTTCTATGAATCCATTATTTTTAAAAATTAATTAAATAGGGGAGACTGGGGCGAAAGGTTAAATTTTGCATAAATGATTTTTTTAAGACAATATAATCCGCTTAGATGCAAATATTTATATATATCAATATTGTAGGGCAACTTGTTCTCTACAACTTTCAATAAAAAAGTTTCTGATATTTTCGCATAAAATACATGTTTTGTCCTTTTTTAAAAATTTTGTTTTTTTTAACTTTTCGCCCCATGCTGGGGCGAAAAGTTAAATCGCTGGGGCTACATGTTAAATTCTATTTTTAGCCTACTAAAACTATTTTCTGATAGGTGTTAAGTAGTAGATAAGTTAAAGTATACGTGAACAAGTAATTTAGTTAATAAAAGATCTGTATTTATTTAACAAAAGCTTTAAAATAGTTATAAAGTTAATAAATTAAAATTTCAAAAAAAAAATAAAAAAAATAAAAAAAATAAAATATAAAAATATATAAATATAAATATAAATAAAAATATATAAATATTTTATTATTATTATTATTTATTTTTTTTATTTTATTTTTTTTTTTTTTAAATATTTTTTTTTTTTTTTTTTATATATAAATATTTTCTTTTACGAAAAATTTTTCAAAAGTAGGGTGAAAACAAACTTTAAATATGGGCACAACAAAAATGAACAGAATGTCACATAACTCCGGACATTCATTTAGAGTGATAACACCCTTCTATAATTAAAATTGTAATGCTCTAACTATTTCCGTTCGAAAGATAATGAATTTTAACTGTTTTCACAGTTTAACGTTTCGCGTTTCGCCCCAGTCTCCCCTATATATTGAAAAATTGGCCTAACATTAGAAAAATTTGAATTATTAAAAATTTTTCAAAAATGTAAGTTTATTAAAATTTCTAAATTAATTCATTTAAAATTGAAAATAAAATTTTTAATTGAAACCTTTTGAAGTTCATTTATTTTTGAAAATTGTAAACGCAACTCTTTTAAAATTCAATTAATAGTTTATGAGGCAAACAAAAAAGACATAAAAATTCAGAATTTTCTTATGAATTCTAAAAATTTAATTTTTTTCCATTACTTTTAATAAAAATCCCTGACTTTTCCCTGATTTGTGATAACCCTGTATATATATATAAAAATTAAAAACCATTTATTCTTTTGTTAATTTTATTAGCATTAATGAAAATTAATATTTTGCACCTGAACGGATGACTGAGAAGAAATTTAATACCAAATGATTAGATTAAAATTTCTTATTGTAATGGCTTTCAGTAGACAAATGACAAAACATTAAAGTACTTAATTCGATATATTATTTAGTCAAAAATTGTTATTGTTCACAGATTAAAAACTAAAAATTTTATTTTTATAATTCCACAGTGAAATAATTTTTCGGGTATTACTTAATGAACAAAAGCAATATTCGACTTTTATTTATTGATAAATAATAAAGTGATTCTACAATGAATAAATTCTCAGAAAGGCAAAATATTAAAACACTAAAATATGTTTAACTTTCTCTTATTATTTTTGCTTATTTAATTTCTTCAATTATTCTTGAATAAATAATAAATAAATTATTTATAAAAGGGTACAGAGCATATAATTATTTATTCTATTATTTTACTATTAAATTATTTTAATTCTAAGAAGGAATTTTTTTTCATAAATGATACAAAAACTCTAAATAATTGAGAGAAATATCCTATGTTTTTCAGAATATTAATAAAAAAACATTGATATAAATTTAAATATGAAAAGTACAAAAAAGAATGTAAACATTTAAGAAAAACAAAATAATTAAAAGAAAATTGTTAAATTAGTAAATAATTATAGAAAAAGCGCGCTATAAACAATAGTTACAGACGTATCCTTATGTCTTAATGTTTATTTATAAAAAAAATGAAGTATTTACCTGTATTTTAATTTTTTGTATTAATTCAAAGTAATTTCTTCTTTTTTTGAAAAAAACTGAAAATTAATTCTCATTAATTTTCTTTAAAATCTTGATTATTTCACTTCTAGGTTATGACGCTTATTCAGTTTATTACGTGTATGATCCACTACAGCTGCTGATTCAAAAGTATAATATAGAGAGTGAGAGATCCACGCACAACACGATCACATTTACAAATATGGTCAAAAAATTCATGTGGCTCGTGGCTCCGTTTTCTGCCTGGCTATACTTTGGGATCTACGCATGCGTTTCTTTTTTCGAATTCCATTGGTCGACTAGTGGAATAAAATTTTGGAGTAATGAAAAAAGTAGTCCTGAGGGGGATTTAAAAAGAATGAAAGGATTATTTTTATACTATTATAGGTATAATTAGAAGGAAAGGAACTGGTAATTAAGGGGATGAAGAAGAAATTAAGGTCATTAAGGTTGGTGGTAGATTATAATTTTGTCAAGTACTTAATGAATTTTTAATGGATTTTGCATTTAAAGGACTTATTCAAACTTTTATTCTCCCTGCATTTAAATTCAGAGGAGACAAAACTGTTTTAAAAACAAATTATCCTCTATAAGTTGAGTTTTAAAGGAATTACCTGATATTTGGAGACAATCATTTTATTGGGAAATTCCGCTTTTAATTACTTCCTGCGACAAAATAGAAATTTTGTTGGATTCCTATAAAGAAGGTGGAAATTTTATTACTTGAATGTCTATCTTACGGACTGAAAAAAAATTAAATTGTTGTTTGTAAATCGAAATCGATAATCTACAATAGGGGAGACTAGGTGCGGTTGTTACGCTGTGCAGTTGTTACAAATGGAATATCTCAGAAACAGTTAGTTATAGAGATGGGGTTCCAAAGAGAAAAATGTTTAGTTTTTATGTACGAACTTACTGCAATTGCAATATGTTTAAAAATTATATGCAAGCTTTACAAGTAAAAAAATAGGCACATTGGTTTTTAGAGGCCAAAAGTAAATATTTCTCTGCCTGATATTTTTTAAATAAGTTAATAGATCTTTATACTTATAACAAAGTAAATTTTTTTAATATCAATTCTATGATAATTAAGCTTTAAAAAACTACCTTGGTTGTCCACATTTAGTGTATACTTTTTTAATAAAGTGTTTTATTGTAAAAAATGTACCTGTTGTGCAGTTGTTACAAGTGATAATGAGAACGGATATTTTTTCCAAAATTCAGCAGATTCGTTTGAAATGTAAAATATTTGTCAAAAATGTAATCACACACAGAGAAAAATGGTGCTGAGTTTCTAGTAAAAGTTCCTATGGAATAGTAATAATTCTACTTTTATATTAAAAATTACTATTTATATAGTAAAATGTACTTCGCATGAAGTAAATATTACTATTTCTGGTATTAAAAATTACTAAAAGTAATTATTACATTAGTCACTTTTAAAAATTGCTTTAAGAATTTTAATTTTTACATCGTCATTGTAAATTTTATTAAATTTTGTATTACTTTTTACATTCGATATGTTGTAAATATTACTCGTAAAAATTCTAATAAGAGATTTAAGGTAGTTCTCCGGCTGCTACTCTTGTAAGAATTGATTTTCGATAGAATTTCTTCAAATTTTGAGAAAATGTTTCTTTGGGTGCCCTTTGAATGTGGTAAAAATTTCAAAACCCTTTGCCATGTCAAAGAACGAGATATTGTGGTTAACATTTTTTATTTTTAACATAATCGCATGTAAAAGTGAAAGTTTGAACTTGAATAACTGAAAATTTAGCATCGCAAAGGGGTTTGAAATTTTTACCACATTTAAAAGTCACCCGAAGAATCATTTTCTCAAAATTTGAAGAAAATTTATCGAAAATTAATTTTTACAAGAGTAGCAGCCGGAGAAATACCTTAATATAAACAAAAGTTATCAAAAACCTTGAATTTCAAAAAATTTGTTCTATTAGGAGAAAGAATACATATGCAGATAAAAAAAGTATAATACACTAAATAAATTTTATTAACAAGCATTGACTGCAGTTTAAACGAAGAAAAAGAAATTACGAAAATATAGCATTGGATATTATTTTTTAATTTTACATTAAATGCCAATTAAAGAAATTTACAAAATTTGTCTTGAGTTTCCATTATATTTCACCTAATAAAGTATAGTTGAAGACTATTTTTAGAGAAAACCTTATAAAAACAGTACAATTTATTTTTGATAATTGTTTTACAAGAATTCTTTGAATTTAAATTGAGGGCTTAGATCCAATAAGTCGCCCGACGCTCGGAGGAACGCGTAACTGCCAGTCAGTGAGCAGTGAGCGCTTCTGGGCCACTCACTGCTACCCGACTGGTATTAGCGCGTGCCTTCGAGCGTCGGGCGAGTTATTGGATCCAAGGCCTCAATTGGAGTTTTAATTTCTAATTTGATTTGTAGGAATAAAAGGTTAGTTTGATAGCTGTAAATATTTTTAAAAAATGAAGAAAATAATTTAGAAAATATAAATTTTTTGTTCGATATTTATTCATAATGGACCAATTTTACTTGTATAAATAAATTATTATGTAAATATGTCCAGAATAAGAGATAAAAAATTAAATTTAAAACCCACCCAAGAAAGGTTAAGAGTCACCACATTTTTATCTCATTTTTCTATAAAGTTTGTAAATATTAAAATAGTATATTGTGTGGCAAGGGCGGAAAGTTGTCAATTCCTGACCGAGTTCGAAATTTGCCGCACGAGCGAAGCGAGGGCGGCAATCGTACGAGGTCAGAATTGACATTTCCGCCCGAGTTGGACATGATATTTTTTGTCCAAATGCGCGATAAACAAGATGCATCCGTAAATTCAAAAATGAATATGCACTAGTTATCAAGATTCGCGGTAGAGAATCGCCGCCAAGTAAAAAGCAAAAACCGCGAATATAATATAATATTCTCATCGAAATATCGGCTGTTTTTCGATAAAATTGAATAACTCGAGTAAATCTTAACCGATTTAGCTCATTCTTTTTTCGTTGGATAAAGAATAAAAAAAGAAAGAATTCTGTTAAGTTTATTCAATATTTTATATAGTTTTATAGAATTTAGGCTAGGAAAATCGGAAAAATAGCGATTTTTTTAAGATTTAGACAAACGTGGAGCGTAAACTCCTAAATAGATTTCTAAAATATTCTAGAATATTATTAATTAGGTTAAAATCTCGATATACATTTCAGGACATTTTAATACACTTGAAATTTTTTGAAAAATTTTGATTTTTCTCAAAAAAATTGAATTTTTTTACATTTAGACAAACGCAGAGAGGAAACATCTAAACGGATATATAAAATATTTTAAAATGTTATTGATTGGGTTGAAATCTCAATATATATTGCAGCAAATTTTAATTCACTTCGTATTTTTTGAAAAATTTTGATTTTTCTCAAAAAAATTGAATTTTTTGACATTTAGACAAACGCAGAGACTAAACTTCTAAACGGTTATGTGAAATATTCTAAAATGTTATTGATTGGGTTGAAATCTCGATATATATTGCAGGAAATTTTAATTCACTTTGTATTTTTTGAAAAATTTTGATTTTTCTCAAAAAAAAATTGAATTTTTTGACATTTAGACAAACGCAGAGACTAAACTTCTAAACAGATATGTGAAATATTTTGAAATATTATTATGGATTGAAAGCTTGAAATTTATTTTAAAAACTTTTTTGTTTTTATGTTATTTTTAGAGTGTATAGAATAAAAATTCTGAAAATTATGTAAAAATTTTTGTAAAGAATCATATCTTAGATAAATTCTTATTTAAAACTTAATTGTATTTTATTTTAAATTATGTGTCCAAAGACCACAATATTTTTACAATTAATTATTTCATTTATTAAAAAGTTGAGATGACGCAAAAAGTTTTAAAATCCCAACAAAAACATCTTTAATGCAAAAAGTTCCGCCAAGTAAAAGATTTTGTGACTATCCAAACAATTAGTGAAATAAAAGTTTACCAAGTAAAATTTATTATTAAAATTTTAATAATGATTGATTTTAAATATTTTCTCTACTACACAACTCGAAGTACATACATATTGCAGTTGAAAAAAACAACCCGGGCATAGCTGTTGTTATTGTACATTGCGGCTTAATTACATTTCCGAATTAAGTCAATGTTCTTCATTGCATTTTGAATTGTAACAAATAAAATTTAACTTTATAATTAACATTAACAAAAAACGAAATCTAATTACTCGTCATAAGAAAAAATTTATATTTCATCAATTTAAAAATCTTGGCGTCAATACTTTCATTAATTACAAGTTAGAAGCATTATTGACGCCAAGATTTTTAAATTGCTGAAATAGAAATTTTTTATTATGACGAGTAATTAGATTTCGTTTTTTGTTAATGTTAATTATAAACTAAAATTTTATTTGTTACAATTCAAAATGCAATGAAGAACATTGACTTAATTCGGAAATGCAATTTAGCCGCAATGTACAATAACAACAGCTAAGCCCGGGTTGGCGGAAAAGTAGTTTTTCCGCCCGCTGTTGGTAGTCGGGCGGCAAAAGCTTACTTTCCGCCCGCTATGCATGCACGGAAAGTCGAGTTTATCGCGCATGTAGGCCAAAAAATTTATTACTACTCCTCGGAAGCAAAACGAAATAATCTAATTTTTGTTTCATATTTAAGTTTGACGTTCTTGTCCACTTGCCTTTTCTATCAAATTTTAGTAATGACGAATCCTAATTTTATTTATGTTTAATGATAAATCGTCCAAGCGCCCATCCTGCCGGAAGGACGTTCCGAAAAAAAGGCTTTTAAAAAAAGGGAATTCAACTTTTCTTTTCTGGCACTCTTTGGGGTTAAAGTAGACGAAAAGACGAAAAAATACATATTTTTGACTTTTTAAAATAATAATATTAAACCATTTTTCAAAGCCTTCAAACTTGCTATGTTTTTAAACAGTGAAAAAAACATTTTTTCGTAAATTTAATGTAAAATTACCAAAAATCAATATTTTTTGACCGGACGAGTCTCTTTCTCTTCAGAAACGTTCAAAGAATGAAACGTAATTTTTTAATTAAAAAAAATTTATTTTTAATATTTTTCAGTATATTTGAGTATATACTCAGGCGCGAGTCCCTTAGAAATTGCTCTATAAAATTAATATGGAAGCAGATAAATATAAAACTAAATATATCGTTGGAAAGGTAATGAAACAAGCTTTCAAATGATGTAAATATCGAGTCTTTAAATTTATAAACCTGGGCTAGGTATATTCTCCTAAATAAAGCGAAAAGCGTCCTGCCGGCAGGACCGGGCTTCGTCATTCTGTGACTAAAAATTATGTGAATTTTTGGAACATGTAACTTCTTCAAACTACCCAGCCCTTAGTTTTGAACTTACAAGCTCGATATTTATATGCGCTGAAAGCTTGTTTCATTACCTTTCCAATGATATATATCATTTTTTATTTATCTGAATCTATGTTAGTTTTCTTTAGTGATTTCGGAGGGACTCACCTGAGTCTTTTTCGTCCTGCCGGAAGGACGTTGGACGATCTATCATTAAAAAATTTGCTATATATAAAATGTATTTGTTGGTTAAAATGCAAGGAAATAATTTATGCAAGTGTTTTAAGACTACCGCATTTTATTTCTACATTAGAAGAAATAAAAAGTCAGCATATAAAATAAAAGTACAATGGAATTTAAAAAAATATACAAACTTTTTCAAAAAATGTAATTAAAATGTGATGACCCTCGACATCTCATAAGCAAGTTTCAAAATCAATTTTTATTCATTTCTTTGTATATGTTTACATAATAATATATTAATATAAATAATTTAGAGCATTTAAAAATCAAAAACATTTAAACAATCAAAATATTTATACTATCTAAATTATTTCCATATTGTTTCTTTTATTAATTTTCAGTTCTCAAATTAACCTTTTCAAAAAAATTTAAATCAATAACAATTTTCCCAAATATTATCAAGAATCTTGTTAAAAAACATAATACAAGAGATAAATTCTTGTGCTTGACGTTTCCTCGCTTGAATGCATCTCTAATCTCAAACTATGTACAAAAGGGTTCGTCTAGAAGATATTTGTTAAAAATAATAGTAGATTGTGCATCAAGGGAGGGAAATGGATGATTTCCGACGAGTGTAGTTTGCAGTTCGAGGCGTAGCGAGCAAACGAGCCGAAGGCGAGTGCTTGCGAGCGAAGCCGAGAACTGTAAAACACGAGTGGAAATCAATTTTCCTCCCGAGTTGCACATACTATTTTTTCTAACACACGTATACCGAAAGTACAAACGCGGCAGTTTGATTGTTACTTTTGAATGTATAGTTGTAGCTGGGGGCGGTATAGTTACAACTGTGGTAACTGAAAGTTTGTGAAAAGCTTAAAATAACTAAACTAACCCAAAGAGCGTAGGTTTACGCAAGTAGCGTAAGTAACGTAAGTTACGTAACTTACGTAAATCATTTATTATTTGTAACTCGAAAGACTAACATAACTACACCATTTACGTAAGTTACGTAACTACACCATTTGCGTAACTCGCGTAAGTTACGTAAGTCACTTAGCTGACGTAACTCACGTAACTGATTCATCAATGGTCATACTTTGATAATATTACCGAGAAAGCAAGTTACTTTTCCTCCCTCACAGGGAGGGAATGTTACATTCCCTCCCGGTGACGTCACTAGCCGGGAGGGAATGTACATTCCCTCCCGCTCGCAGGGAATCATACACTTTTCTCCCGCTAAACACGTAGGAAATTGTGTAGGGGAGAGTCTCCAGTTGTGAGACACCTCCAGTTGTGAGACAGTCAATTTTTTTTAACATGCAATATTAAAAAGCCGATTGGTTTATATAAAAACATTTCTTTTTATATGAGCCAACTTTTTCGTGTACGCCGAAGCGGATATATAAACTGTTTTTGTTAAATACCAACACTGTGTGTGATAATCGACTAAAAAGCGTTTTTTCAATAAATACAAAGTACTTTTTTTCCAAGTTAATTAATTGGAAAAGGTAAATGTAATGCATTTTCTTTTAGTGTTTTCCTTATATTTTGTGATGCAATATTGCATTGTTCCAATCTACGGTTGAAAATAATTTAATTTTCCTTTTTCAAAATAGCGCCAATTTCTGGGTGTGAGACACAGCATATCACCAGTTGTGAGACGGTGTCAACACCCATCTGGGCAGCATAAAAAATACGACTTTGCAGGCATACTATTTAAATGTTGTTTTGATTTTTTTTCTAGAATTTTTGGGCATGTCAAGTGGAAAAAAGTCAATTGATTCAGAAGAAATCAATTTTAATGCTCTTGTTCAAGCTATTAAATTGTGTTTATTTGATAGTCATATTTTGGCGAATAAATATTATTATTTAGTATATAATAATATATATTATTAATATATTTAATTATTTCTACTAAACATAACGTTTTATGTCAAACTTATTAAATTTTAGCAATTTTTAATGAGTGTCTCACAACTGGAGACATTTTTTTTTTTTGAAAAAAGCGATGTGCTCGGAAAATGTATCGTAAAATTTTTTGAGTTCATCGAAACACTATACTTTCTTTTAATAAAAGTTGCGTATTTCTGTTACCTTTCGAACGGTGTATTTTATTAACAATTTCGTTTACCCGTTTACAATTTACGGGTCAAAAATGAAACCCGTCTCACAACTGGAGACTCTCCCCTACTTTCGGTGCGTGTGGTAGAAAAAATTATATAAATCATTTATAAGTTGTTGTATAAATATTTGGTGAAATTTACACTTTCATTTGCCAATTGCTTCTATTCTATGATAGAATAATCATTTCAAAATATTAATATTAAATTAATTATGAAAAAAATACAAAATTTGAATTTTTTGTGAAAAAGAAAAATATTTATTAATTTTATAAATTTTGATAAAATATATACTTTGTATACATCAATCGATTCGTTTTCTTGTCAGGAATGTAATTTTGAGAATAATTAATAAAAATATTAACAAATAAAAAAATTATTTCAAAAAATACAAAAAAAAATTTTTTCTGAATTTAAAAAAAATTGTATAAAAAAAAATTTTGTAGATATTTTTGAAAATCCTTGTGTCAGATTTTAGATATTAATGACTGCAATAAACCTGCAAAATTTCAGGACAATCCATCAAAATTTGTATGAGATAATTTGTACACAATTTTTGTGACATACACACACACATACACACACATACATCTGGACATTTGCTCATAATTGAATATATACATATGTTCTAGATGAAAATGAGTCCATATAACCTTCTTTTGAAAAATTAAAAATCGTCACCAATGCAAAGCTTCCTCAGGAGGAAGCAAAATTATATGAAAAAGGTTACAATTAATATTCTGAAACAATTTTGCAACTTACTATTATCCAGATTTTCTTGATTACGCACCAGAAATATTATATAATTGCACCTGAAACTTGTAGCCTATTTTCTGTTTATGCTTCGTTCATTTGTTATGTTCATAACCCACCAAAAAATTAAAAAACTATTTTCAGAAATAACTTGCATTTTGAATCTATTGTTTTATCATAAACTATATTTTGAAGAAATAAGGAATTAAAAAATATTTTTTTCATACTGCTAAAAGTTATAATTTCTGAAATATCGTGATAAATAAAGAATCTGTTCTTTTACTGGTGTCAATTCTTTCACTGGTGCAACTACCCTATTTAGAAGAAAAGTCGAAAAAGTCGCAATTTTTGAAAATAAGGCCTGTAAATACGACTCAATTTCCTTAATTTCCCTGACTTTACTGACATGTGGCCACCCTAATAATTTTAGATTTTTTTTCTTGGAATGGAAGAGAATTAGATTTTGAATTCTAGTTTCCTTGAAAATTAAAACATCTTTATTTACAAAATTCTTCACCGCTGAGAAATTCACTGTTTTTGTCGTTTATTCGAAGGTTCGCCGGATTCGTCATCGAGAAAAATGGTCTTCGGCTGTGTCTTCTTATAGGCAGGCGCGATCCAATAAGGATTCTCCTCGGCCTCCTTTGCGAACTTGAGAATCGCCTCCCTTGGATCCTGATCGTCCTCGATTTTCTTACTGAGACCAAGATTACGAATAACAAAGGAACTCAATGTTCCACCAGAGGATGCAACACGACCACCTTGTCCCGAAGTAATTGGCAAATCAGGACGTCTCGATTTAACTGGATCCAATCGATCCTTCTCCATCTGTTTTCTCACCGATTTCGGTCGATCTTGTCTAAATAATGGCAGTGCGTGTGGCGTAATTATTTGCTGCGTCGACACCATTTCAATATGCTTCTGCTTATGTTTCGTCTTCATCACACACAATTTTGCACCACGCATACTCTTATTCGAATCATAGTAGGCTTTGACAATTCCATTACCACAACCAACGAAAATTTGATTTAATTTTGGATGCCAAAGAGTTTTAATGACATGCGAATCGGTCACGTCAATTTCGTTGATGAGTTCAAATGTTTTTGTATCGAAAAATAGAACACGACCGAATTTTGCATTTCTTGTTAATGATTCGCCGGTGATGAGCATTGAATCGTCGGGACTGAACAAACAATCGGTGGTGTCATAGCGTGAGAAAATGTTTTTTGCCTCGGATAATGGTGTTTTAAATGAACGTAGATCCCATAATTTTATTGAATCATCACAGCTTCTCGATGCCAATAAATGACCAAGATAGGAGAAACTCAAACTAGATATTTCCGAGCCCGATTGATGTGCGTTGCGATTAATCAGTGATGGATTTACGAAATTTTTTCTATGATCCCACATTTGAATTGAACCATCGTAACAGCCACAAGAGACGACATTTCCCTCACGATTATAGGCACATGTTGTCGGTATTGTTTTCACTCCATTTTGTGCTCTGCATTTTATGACGTTTTTGTGTTCTCTGGGTCTGTGAATCATTTTTGTAGTTATTATTATTATTATGTCTTATTTATTATCTAATTTTTAATTTATATACTTTTTATTAGTATACATATACATAGAGACAAAATTGCAAAAATTTATATGGAAAATAAGTAACTTGTGTTTTTTGTGATTTTGCAAATTTTATATTTTTCATGAGCAAAAATTTTTGAACGTTCAAATGAACGAAATATTTTTTATTAAAAATATTTCAGTAGATTTAATTACTGATTTCAATAAAAATTAAAAACTCAAGTTTTACAATTAGAAACTTTATAATTAACTTGTTTGATAGTGACGCAAAATTATAGTAGGAATAAAAATTTAATTTGAAGAATTAAATAAATTTCGTTTATTTGAACGTTCAAAACTTTAGGATCATTATTTCTCTTCATATTAAAGATTAAAAGGTTTAAAAATTATTGATAAGACTGACAACGTTTTATTAATAAAAATTAGGAGTTGTTAAATTCAAATGAATCAGAAAATTTCGATTAATTGAAATTTGGAGCAAGTAAGCAGGTCTCGGATCGACTTTAAGGCGCAAATAAGTCTTTAGTCGATTAAGGGGTAACACCACTCTAGAGTCCACTCCCCAAAAAGTCAAATTTAATTTTGATTTTTTTAGGTCAAAATTTTTTTTTTTTTTAAATACTTACTGCCAATTGAAAGGGCATGAAAAAATCTATCGAAACTGAACCTTGACAGATTTTTTTCTTTAAATGTTTAAGAGGAAAAAATTATAAAAAAAACATTGACCCCTTGATCACTTGACATGGAATCGCTCAAATACATATTGAAGTGTAAACAAAATTTTTTTGTTTAAATTTAATTACAAAATGGCGGCAACAGATGCCATATTCAAATAGACAATTTTTCTTTATTACTAAAACGGGAGGACTGTCTTCTTTAAAAGGATAAGACCTGGAACAAAAAACCAGGAAATTTTTACGGAATTTTTTGTCATTTATTGCCGTCATTTTGTAGTCAAATAAAAATAAAAAAAATTTTTATACTTCAATATGTATTTAACAAACCCTCTAAAAAGAAATGCTATTCCTTTTTCCATTTTTCCAAAAATAAATCATCAAATATAGGTTTTTTTCTGAATCTAGAGTGGTGTTACCCCTTAAAGGTACAAAAAAAGAAAAAATTGAAAAATTCGTTAATATTATTCAATGTTGTCCCAAATATTAGATTTTGTATTTGGTTTTTAGTATTCATAGATGGTTCGAAATTGTAAAAGAGTGTTAGGACCGACAAGTTGCAAAAAATGACCAGTGACTCCGTCATCGACCTCAACTGATGATACCAGCAACGTTTAAAACACACATTCGCTCTTTCAGTTTCGTTTTTACATTTGTTTTAAATTGTGTGTGTACTTTCGAGCAATAAACAATAACTTCTTTAACTTTAAATACGTTTTCCAATGGTTTTTACCGTCTTGTTCCTAATAGCCTCATTTTGTATTTCGAAAAAATGCGTCTTATTCGTATTTTTTGCTTAAAATTCCAGCTTTGATCAAAACAATTCTTCAACCCTTCAATGTGTTCGCCAAGATCAAGAAAAGAAACAAAAAATTAAGGCAATATTTCAATAAACAAAAGAGTTACAAGCCTTTAAAGTTGAAATCTGTTCCTAATAGCCCCAGTTAACGGTATAAAAAATACTAAATTTAAAAAAAACTATATCAAATATTCAGAATATTAATAAAATTCTAATATAACTTTACTAAATTTCACAACAGTTTTTTAGTTTAGTATTTTTTATATCAAAATTTCGCTTTGTCGCACTTTTTCCCCAATTTGTAAAATACTTTTACAAAATTTAATATTTCTCTGTCCGTGTATGAAAAATGTACAGAATTTGTGAAAATTGACGAATTAAAAATTGAAAATTAACAAAACAGAAAAATAAGTGTAATAGGTGACAAAATTATAAAAATGTGACAATCTGCGATTCCTGAATTGCTGAAAGAAAAAGACTTACTTGTTAAGAACCCAAATTCTGCAGGTACCATCCTGAGAGCAAGTAAGATATTCTTCTTTAATAAAAGGATGCCAACATCCGCAATTTAAAGCGGCAACGTGACCTTTTGTTCGTGCCATATCGGTGATGTATTGATCGCCCTTTACTGTTTCACATTTTTCAAAACCGTCTCGATCTAATACTTTTGCTTGGGCTGCTCCTGAAATTACAAGAATTACATCTCCCGTCATGGAATATTGAAGACACTTGATGGGATGATTCTCGCAAGGTTGAAGAGTTCTAAAACTTCGTAGGGACGAATCCATACCGCCAAAATCCCAGAAACAAACGTCGTAGTCCATTGATCCGGATGCGAGTCGTGCTCCTGATGGATCGGCAGCAATTGCTGTTATTGCCTTAACTCCATGATTCATTGTCACTTCATGACTACAGGGTATTTTGCTTATTAAACTTTTCTCTTCTTCCTCGGAATCACTGTCCTCGTCGTCATCATCATCATCATCATCATCATCATCATCATCATCATCATCATCATCACTGTCATTTGATTTCTTCTTCGTCTTCTCCTTCAATTCCGTTTTGTTTTTCTTCTCCTCGATAATTGACGATGGAATAGGTGGACCGATAAAATCATCATCTTCTTCTCCCTCAGATTTTTTCTCCTTTTCTTCCTCTGCTTGACTGTAAATAATTTCATTAAAATTTAATATACTCAGGGTGGTCACAAGTTTCAGTTTATCAATTTCCCTGACAATTTACTAACATTAAAATTATTTTCTCTGACAAAATTCTTTTCACAGGAAATTTCAACTAAACTTCATTTCTAAATCAATTATTTTAAATAATATTCCTAACATTCTTCGAGAATTAAATTATTTAAATACGAAAATTCAATTTTTTCTAATAATTGTAACTGTCCATGTTTCTATAAGTTTATTAAGGTATAATATTTTCAGAAACTAAAAATAATCAAATTTTTGAAGAATTTTAATTATAAATATGACCATGATTTCTCCGAAATTTTAATAAGACCAAAGTTTATTTGCTTTATTCGAAAATAATTAAATCTTAAAAAATTCTAAGAATTAAGTAGTTTTTAAAAATACTTTAATGTAGGGTCAATTCCAGTGAAAACCATCTAGAGCAGGTTGCTCGATGATTTTAAAAAATGCTGTAATTAATATATAATATTTTTCAATAAAATTGGATTATATTTTAGTGGTTTTTGGCACTAAATATATTTTACATTCTTTTAAATAATTTTTAAAAATTTTTAACTGGTTATGCTACATAACCAGTTATCTCTAACATAACCCATTTTACGAAAAGTTAGTATAAATCATTAAAAACAGATTATAAATACTGCTTTTTATTTTAAATATATATATATTTCTAAATTCATCTAAATAAACGAAACCTTTTAAAATTGATTTATTTTAAAATTATAAATTTATTTAAATTGGAATTTTTTCGGGACCTCTACTCATTAATTATTCACTAATTATGAAAAATTATATAAATTTAACCTGATTTTCATTGAATTTTTAATTTTATGACTGGATTGAAGTTTTTTTTCTTTAAACGAACGATAAAAGGTGATGAACTTCAGTCCAGTCATGAAAAGAAAATGCAATGAAAATCAGGTTAAATTTGTATAATTTTTTACATTTATTAAATAATTAATGATTAGAGGCCCCAAAAAATTCCAATTTAAATAAATTTATACTTTTAAAAACAATCAATTTTAAAAGGTTTTGTGAAAATTCCTTTTTCTCCACAGAAGATATAAGAAAAAGAAAATGATGTTTAATATACTGTGCAAGTACAAAAAAATACTGATTTAATTGTTCCAGTGAGTTATTTTCAAATAATTTTAGTTTATTTAGATGAATTTAGCAAAAATATATATTATATTTAAAATAAGAAGCAGTATTTATAATCTAATTTTAATGATTTATACTGAGTTTTCGTAAAATGGGTTATGTTAGACTGCATAACCAGTTAGAAATTTTAAAAAATTATTTAAAAGAATGTAAAATATATTTAGTGCCAAAAACCACTAAAATATAATCCAATTTTATTAAAGAATATTATATATTAATTACAGCATTTTTTAAAATCATCGATCAACCTGCTCTAGACGGTTTTCACTGGAATGACCCTGTAATTTTTTAAAACAATTTAAAATTGACGTTTAAAGATTTTTCATTAAAATTTTTAATAATTAAAGTATTTTGAAAATTTGCAATTAAAATTTTTCTAAAGTTGATTTCCTAAAATTCTAACAAAATACTTTTAAAAAATTAATTATTTTCTTTCAATTAAATTTTACAAAATTCCAATTATTTAAAATCTTTTTCATTGTATATTTGTTTCTTGACATTTCCCTGACTTAACAGACATGTGGCCACCCGGATAATGTTATAAACAATTATAACAATAATTAAGAATATTCTGAAATTAAATGTTAAGAAAATATTTTATTTCTAAAAAATCCTTTAATCTCACGTCTTTTTTTCTAATTTTTTGGCATTCATGGTTTTGACAATGTTCTCCATCATTTCCTGAACATTGAACGATTTTGCTTTTCTTCCAAAAGAAGACATGCCCATGATTCTTTTCATTTTTTCCGTCTCTTCCTCTTCCTCGGGTGAAATCTCATTCATTGTGACAATATTTTGTTCCTGAGGAATTTTGCCAAATGTACCAAAACCTGAACTTGTGGCCTCAGATTCCTTTGGCGTGGAATGTTTTATTAAATTCGTGGAAATTTTACCAAATGTTATTGTCTTCTTCATGATTAGAGTATTTGTTTTTTTCTTAATAACGAAATTGTTTATGTAAAAATCTATTGACGCTTTTGACAAAAGTTGAAAAATGACAAACGTTGTAACATATAACCTCACTTTTTGAAAGAAAAGATAAACCATCCAATTTTTGTGGATAAAAAAATGAGTTTTTTAATTAGCACATTCCAACATTGATTACTGTTAAATATGAATAGTAAATAAGAGATAAATATTGGATAAATATACTGGAAAAACGGTATTTTTTTTTGTTTCTATGCTTGTATGTTTCAGAGCTGTCAAAACAACAAAACTAACAAAACAATTTCTTTCTTTCCTACTATGGCCGTATGGCGCAAGCGCAAAGAGTGACCACGTGATCTATTACGTCACTACTCTCATACGATCTGTTAAATCATAAAATAATATTTATAAAAGAACAACAAAGAATGTAGTAGAAATTTAAACCCAAAGACAGGTGAATATGTAGATTTTATTATTTCATTGAATGAAAAATTTAAATAGTTTATTATTAATACGAAATCTGTATTTCGTAACACAAATCTCAATTTTAACCTGAAAATATGTTACTTTCTAAGCTTTTTAATTTTTATATTTGTTATAAATTGTATTTTAATCATTGGATTTGTATTGTATATGTATGGTATGTATTTAATTGAAATTAATCAATTTCGAAAAAATCGTAAATACGAATAGAATTTATTATTTAACAATTAAATTGATTGTAAAATTTTCGAAGGTATATTATCGAACTTTTAGAGTCATTAAATTTTAATTAGATCTTTAACAATTAGTAATTGGCACTATTTGGTTATTTAGTGTTATGAGTAAAATGTCCGCAACTATTCATTTTTAATGAGAGTCCATTTACAGGTGAGTTTAAGAATTAGAAAGAAAACCAAAAATGAATGACTGTCAGTTTGAATCGAGAACACGAACAGATAGTTCAGGAACTGGTACATCAACTCCGTCATCTGCATCTGATTATATAACTGGTGAAGGAGACGATAGTTCAGACAGTAGAGGAACAGTGCCTTGTACTTTAAAATCTGTAGAAAATTTACTGTCACTTACAAAGGTAAAAAATGATAGGAGATACTCCAAAAAATATTTGTAATCCCAGTGAAAATAATTATAAATTGATGCATTTTTGTTTAAATAGCGACTAGAAAATTAGAAGGAAGGAAAAATTTGGTTTAGAATATTATTGTCATTATATTATTATTATTCAACATATTTTTTATAATTATTTTAGACAATAACTCAAGATGAACTTCAAGAAATGGTTGAGAAATGTAAGGAAATGGTCTTGGAGAGTGCCGAGTGTTCGGAAGAGAGAAAATGGTTGGTCAGACGACTAATTGAATTACGATTGAGAGTTCAAGAGATTCGTGAAAAATCGAATGAAGCCACTTTAGAAACGCGTGTGATTTTGGGACATCATTTTGTACCACAAAAATATCATATTCCAATTTCTGGTTCAGTTTATTGTGACCATTGCAGCGGAGGAATTTGGACAATGCTTCAGTCTTGGTACATGTGCAATGGTAAATATATTTTAAAAAATTTTATTTTTCTGTATTTACAGAGAAAACAACAAAATTATTTAATATTACAAAAAAAATTATTTATTTTAATTTATTAATTTTTTTATTGTTTTTATTCCAATTAACAATTTATATACTTTATAAAGGTTATTATCTATTAATCTATCTTCTATATTAAATTGAGGGGCTGATAGTAAAAATGGGTTAAATAATTATCGGGAGCAAAAGAGATTCAAAATAGTTCATATTTGAAAAAGTGAAACAAATTAGGGTAGAGTGGGGTAAAAAAGCCACATTTTCACTTTTGATGCTGTAAAATCTGTATTTAAAATTTTTTTCTCAAATTTCCAATTGTTATTGAAAGTTTAGTTATTAAGTTTGAAAATTCTTGACGGAAATATTTTTTATCTCGAAAGCACTGTAAGTGGCTTTTTTGCACCACCTGGTGGGGTGAAAAAGCCACCCTACGATTTTAGCAAAACATGTTATCAATTTAGGTATTTTTATAGTTTTCCTTTATTTATATGACAAATAGTCTTATTTGAAAAATATTTTAATAATTATGAAAGAGTTTTTAGCAAGCAAAATTGAAAATTATATTAAGTTTACCTGTTTTCGATTTGCACTGCCAATTTTTCGTACCTTTTTTAGAAGTTCTCTTTAAGTTTCACCACAGATAACATACTTGTTGCAACCGTTTATTCATTGTTTATTTTTTTAATGCACTTTGAACTACTTTTTCGTCGTGTTTAATTAATTTTATTAAATAAACACGAGAAATTTTGTAAAATAAGAAGGTTAGTTTAAATAGAAAACAAGTGAATTTCACAAAATATTCAATGGATTTTTTGCCCTTGCTTTTTTACACCCAAGACCAGTTATTAAAAAAGCAAAAATAAATTTTTAATTCAGTTCAATTTCCAAAAATTAACATTGTATACGTTTTGAGTATAGTTTTCTCTTTATGTACAAACATTTACTTTTATTATTCGTTCACTTAATCAGATTGTAATATGTTTGAAAAGTTCACCAAAATGTTTTCAAAAAAGCAACAAAAAATTAAAATTACAATAAAAACAATATTAATCTAGGTACAACATTCAAATTAGATTCAAAAGTTGCGTATTACCTAATAGTATTTATATTCTAAACAGCTGATAAATCGGCTTAATAGTTTTTAAATAAAACTCAAATGGCTTTTTTACACCATGGCTTTTTCACCCCACTCTACCCTACGCTCTACGATTAAGAATGAAATAAAAAATTGTCAACGTAAAAACGGAATAGGATTTCATTACTCGCTAAAACGAGTTAGAAATATTTTACATATTTGCCCGCACTAATATTTACAATGAATTAAATTGATTACAAAACGCTGACTTTACGAGATTGCATTTGTCATTCTTTATTTAAATGATTAAATTTAAAGAGTTTATTACACAAAAATCACAATCATTATTATAAATTAAAAATAGAAAAGTATAGTATAATATACTATTCAATACTTTTTAAATGTTTACAAAACTTATTTATTAAAGAAGGCTTTAATTTTGTAAGCTGAGCACTGTGTTCGTATTTGAACTAAATTTTTATAAACATAACCAAAACTTCAATCTTTTATATAATGCATTTGACAGTAAATTTATTATTAAATTTTCCAAATTTTTATTCTTTTTGTAAAAGTTAATTAAGTTAATAATTGAGCGTCTGGATCGAATAATCCGCTCGACTGTATGCTTACAAGCCAGTCAAACATACCAAAATGGTCTAAAAATTATAATTCAAAATTTTAATTTTTGAAACATACATTCTTGTAGGAAATTGAATGAAGCATCTTTTTTTCCTATACAATTTTTTTGTAGAACAAATATTTTTGAAGATAATGACCAAAAACTGAAAATTTTAAACTTATGAAATTAATTAAATTTTAAAACATAAATCATCATATCTTTGGTAATTATTATTGGATTTAAATAAAATTTGGCATACACCTTCTTTTGGGTTAAGAGAAGGCAACGACAAAATCAAAAAATCATCAATTAAGATGATCAATTAAGAGAGGTTAGAAATTCTACTTTCTCAACTTTGCTAATAAAAAGTCTGCGGGGAATTTTTAATTCAGAAAACTTCCAGTGAGACATTTGTTTATTAGCATTCAAGGAAGTTTTTTGGAAAATTTCAAAAAGATTTATTAAAAACTAACAAAAATATGAATAAATTAAAAAAATGCGCTCGGCGTTAAACATAGCCACGTCAAACCTATATACACACAAATCGACGGCTCCCGTTGATATGATCTTGTTTCAATTGTCAAAATAATAAAATTGTCTTTGGAGCTCAGTTCAATATGATCTCTATTCAATTGTCAATTTAATATAATCTCGCAGAAGTTTCCGTGTAATAAAATCTTAATTCAGAGTAATTTTAAATTCACTTAAAAAATAAAATATTAATTCGTTCTTAATACTATTTTTTGTTTTATAATGATTAAATAGTGATTAATAAAATAAAATATAGAAAAATAAATAAAGAAAATTATAAAATAAATAAAAAACGATATAAATAAATTAATTTTTAACAATTAATATAAGAAATAAAAATTAGATAAAATAAAGAAAATAATAAAATTATACGAAACTAATTAATTATAAAAATACTAAATAAACTAAAATTAAGTAAAATTTCGTTACGTTACGTTTTAATTACATTTTATATTGTTAATAATTATTATTTGAAATTTCTTTGATTTATTTTATTAATTTTACTATTATTGTAGGTTAATTATTGTATTTATAACAATATTTATTTTTTATTATTTATATTACCTACATTATACCTAAAAAATAATTTCAGTTGAAAAATGTAGTGTAATATAATTCTTAATATATTTGTTTAAAAAAATATAGATAATACCCATTTTATTATACTTTGTTTTTTTTTTTATTTAATTAATTTTATTATTTTTTGCAATATTATTTCATACTTTTTAATGAATAATGAATTTTATTAATTAAAATTAGTTAGTTTACTATTTTTATTATTATCTAGATTTGTATAATTTTATTATTTATTTTTCGATTTAATTAATGATTGAAAAGTATGAAATAATATTACAAACGAATTAATATTTTATAGTTAATAATTTATTATTTTTCTGATATTTTTAATAGTTTTAATAATTTTCTTCATTTATTTTTCTATATTTTATTTTATTAATCATTATTTAATCATTATACAACCTAAAATAATATTAAAAACAAATTAATATTTTATTTTTTAAGTGAATTTAAAATTACTCTGAATTAAGATTTTATTACACGGAAACTTTTGCGAGATTATATTAAATTGACAATTGAATAGAGATCATATTGAACTGAGCTCCAAAGACGATTTTATTATTTTGACAATTGAAACAAGATCATATCAACGGGAGCCGTCGATTCTAATCATTTTTAGAGAGAATCAGAATATTCTTTAGAGTCAAGGAAGAAGTCAAAATTTTGTTAAGTAATAAAGTTTTTCATATTAAAAAAAAAGAAAATATTTTACAGGATTTACATTTGTTAATTTTCTAAAATGTTTGTTACAAAATGCTAATTTTTTAGAATCAAAGGAAATAATGAATAGTATAATAATATTAATAATTTTTTTAGATTAATAAAAATATTTTTGAATTATTTGAGAAATAAAAATAATATTATTAAATCAAAAAAAATAAAAACAAAATAAAGAAATGTAATATTATCTATCAAAACATATAAAAAACAAAAGCATACATTTTGTTAAAAAATCGTTATTTTATATTTTATTTCTATTTTCTATCAAAACGAATAAAAAACAAAAGAATAACCATGACTAACTTCAGGTGTGGACAGACTGGACAGAATGAATACGACGATTATTATAGTTAATTTTCTTTCGCAGTATTAAACATTCTGTTAATTAGTCATTCAAAAAATAATGTTTTTGACAATTATTCTTTCGATTAAAAGAAATTATAATTAATTCTTATTAGGTAAAAAGAATTTCGATTAAATAAAGATTCGTAAAATAAAAATTGGAGACTTTTCATGCGCCTCCTTTAGGGTACGGTCCCATGATGAACAGAAAACACAATGCAAAGCAGAATTTCGTGAGAGTGGAAAGGATAGTGATATCTGACTATCTCTTTTGCACTCACGAAATTCTGCTTTGCATTCTGTTTTCTGCTCATCATGGGACCGTACCCTTACTCCACCTTTCTGTTGTGCGGCCATTTTTTCCCTATGTCAAGTCACCTACAGCTGTAAATTCCCTGGTAAATTCTCGTGATGGAAATAAGAATGTGGCTCGTAGAAACGTCGTATCGAGACAAAATAAATTCTAATAAATTCTTTATTTAATTTCGCTTCCAAGTAAAGGCCCACTTTTTTGATTAAGTGCTTAGTTTTTTTACAAAAATTCTCAAAGTGAAAAAATACAGGAAAGTGTAAGAAAGTGGGTTGGCAACACTGGACAGTTCTCGACCTCCCAACACCATAAATAAAGGGGTTTTTGTTTATAAAAATATACAAAATATAAAATATGTTAAATTAAAACGAAAAATATAAAAAACATTTTTTTCAAACTTTGTTATTCATTAAAATAATTTTTTTAAAAACATTAAAAATTAGAATTAGTACCTCTAGAGGTACAATTTATTAACTTGTAATTAATAAAAATATTAAAAATGATAAAGATACAGAATTTTTAAAAATTAAATTATATCTAAAATTTATTGAATTTTTTTGTATTATTTTGGAAAATTAGTTAATTAGTAATTCAGGCTTCGCACTTGATAATTACTTTTAAAAAAGTAGCAAAAAGTAGCTTTAATACTGAAAAAAGGAATAAAAAGTACCCACATAGCACCATATTTTGCGGGAAGCTAACGGGAAACAAACCATGTTAGTAAATAATAGCTAACATGTTAGCTTCCCGTTAGCTTCCCTTGGCCTATAAATGTCCTACGCTTTTTAGTT